AGGATAGGATAGGATAGGATAGGATAGGATAGGATAGGATAGGATAGGATAGGATAGGATAGGATAGGATAGGATAGGATAGGTGTAGTGGTTTAACCCCAGCCAGCAACTAAGCCCACACAGCCACTCACTCTCTCCCCCACCAGTGGGATCAAATGGAGAATTGGAAGAGCAAAAGCTGGAAAACTCGTGGGTTGAGATAAAGTTTGATATGGAAAGGAAAAGCAGTGTACACAAGCAAAACAAGAGGGAATTCATTCACTCCTTCCCAGGGACAGGCAGTTTTTCAGCTATCTCTGGGAGAGCAGAATTCCATGACATGTAACAATGACTTGGGAAGACAAAGGTCATGACTCCAAATGTTCCCTTCTGCCCTAACTTTATGTACTGAGTGTGATGTCCTACGGTCTGGAATATCCCTTTGGTCAGTTGGGGTTGCCTGTCCCAGCTGTGTCACTTCCCAGCCCCCCCAGCCACACCCAGGCTCTGCACCAGCGTGGCACCAGAAAAAGCAGAAAGGCCTTGGCTCTGTGTAAGCCCTGCTCAGCAATAAAAAACCACCTCTATATTATCAACCCTGTGTTCAGCACAGATACAAAACAGCCCCGTACCAGCCACTGTGAAGAAAATTAACTCTACCTCAGCCTAAATCAGCACAATAGGATAGGACAGAACTATTTCTGTTGGAAGGGATCTACAACAATCATTGAGTCTGACTGCCTGGCCACTTCCATGGTGTGTCATTACAGTACTTTCCAAATGCCTTTTGAACACTGACAGGCTTGGGGCAACAACTCCATCTCCAGGAAGCCTGTACAGTGTTTGACCACTCTCCTGGTAAAGAAATGCATCCTAATGTGCAATCCAAACCTCCCCTGGCACAACTTTGAACCATTCCCACATGTCCTATCACTGAATCCACATCACCCTGCCGGCTTTCCCTCCTCAGAGAGCTGTGAAGAGAAATTACATTGCCCCTCAGGCTGTTTCTTTCAAACAAGACAAATCCGAAGTCCTTAGCTGCTCAGTCCTTTGACACTTTTATCTCCCCTAAGCTCCTTTGCAATTTGCTGACGGGGCAGGGAAGGCACTGGGAAGAGCTGGCAGCCAGCACACACAAACCCAGCCAAGGCTCCAAGTGCATATGCAGAACAAACCCTGCTTGGTTCAGGGTGGCTGTAAACTAGCAAAGCTCCTCCCAGTGGGCTGAGTTCCATCAGCTTTCAGGTGTGGGGTGTCAGGGCTCCACTGGTGTGGAAGCATTAAAGATCCTTTTTCACCTTTGCTTTCCTTCTGAACCTAAATTGAGGAGGAATGTGAACTGAAGGCAGGGAGCTGAGGTGAGAGGGAAATAGTGGCTGGAGGGTAGGTGATGAAATGAGATGAAAGAAGGAAAAGATGAGTCAATGACAAGGAAAAAGGCTGACACAGATGAAGTTTCACAACATGACTGAAACAATATAACAGCTTGTTGCAGCCAAATGTCAGGAGCTTGGTTTTTTTCTCTACTATTCGTTTAGAGTTTTAATTCTGAGTTAGTTCTCTTTTCTCCTACCAAGATGAAAATAAATCAGTGCAAGGGTCCCTAAATCAACAGGCAGCCAGAAGCAAGGTCTATCCTATATTCCTATGGCAACAGTGAATTGTTAGATTGTCTAAGGTGTCTTGTGAAATATCACTGTAAGAAAGAAGATAAACATGGGGAAAATAAGAAAACATATACAAATTAAAATTTTATTAAGCCATATTTAGCTTGTGTTAGCTAATGGGGTTATTTAATTGATGGAGAAATAGTGATCCAGAAACCAAAATTAATAGTCCTGACCTTCAAAGAATAGTTTGTTATTCAAACTGGGAAAGAAGGTAGAAAACAGGGGATATGGCAGTGCATTCAGCCAGAATCTTCCTTTATGTGCATTAATGCATTTTATAGATCTAAAGATGAGCAGAAGAACCATTATGATTTAACTGCATAAGGCACGCTCAGTGTCTGATTGTGCTGGCATGGGCAAGGATTCAGGAAAGTTAGACTGAAAATTCCATCTTAGAACTCCAAAGCATCTTTATAATGACACTCTTTTTAAAGTAAAATTTTAAAAAGGAAAATAAAAGAGGAAATGAATCACATTTAATCCCTGTTTTAAATAGGGAACTATTATTGGCTTGTACTAGACACAGAGCGTGTTGTTTCAGTGTTAGTCATAATACTGTTAAAAACGATCTAAAAGGTTATTGAAGCCACTCCTACAACCTCTTGCTATGATTAATGCAAAGAGACAAAGAGAATACTTATTCTACTTTAAAATGCTGCTTTTGAGACTCCTTAAAAGCCAGTGCCATATGTTTATAAATGTAACATGTACCCGATAAAGACAGGAAATATAGTGGTGCAGTCAACTCTTATCCTGTAACAATCATCTCTTGCTGCAGAAGGAAGAGAGCACATGCTATGGGAGAGTAAAATGAGCAAAGCTTTACAGCTCTTGGACACCTTTTCTTGTAGAAAGTTACATTGTCACTTATAGATGTACCTTTACACTGAAAGTCTGGGCACAAGTGTAATTTCTCTGCCAGTTATTGGACTTGTTCAAATTAAGGTGCTTTTACACATGGCTTACTGTTCTGAGATCAGAGTCCTGCCAATCCACAGGACGATCTCAGCATGGAATCTATCTTTAATTCAGCCCACATGTTAGGCCAGAGAGTGCACTCATGGTGCTGTGGTTCAGACTCACATCAGCTCATTCCTCGGGTTATCAGGCCAGAAAATCTACCTGAGGCTCAGTTTTCTTTCTCCATTCTTCAGTCAGCATGACAACATCCCCAAAACAGTCCAGAGCAGCCATTAGTTAATGGAGCTTACCGAAATGTTCATGCTCTGATATTAGTGTCCATTTCAAAAATTAGATTGGCAACTCCATTAGGACCAGCATTCATCTGTCTTGTTATTATTAATGAGGCAAGAGAAAGCTACTTATGCTATTCAGTCATGGGAACCAAAAAAAGGACACAGTACAGAGAAACTTTACTCAAACTGTAGCTAAAAGGTTCCAGTTACCAATAACATTACTGAGTTTGTTCTTTGCAGTATCCAGCCAAGCTTAGTGCTTTGTATGCAAACTCTGTTCATTGTGGCTTAAGATGAAAAAGTGAACAAAACTCACTGAGTAATAGTAATTTATGATTGCATTAAAATTATAAATAAACAGAGCTATTTCTAGTTCTACCTATTGTTATTCAGACTACTGCTGACAAAATCTTCACAGACTTCTTATTTTATGTAGTGTATTGTGAATGCCATGTATGGCAAGCTTTGGGTGTGGGCAAAGGAGCTCTGATCTCTTTTGTTTTTAAACAACATTTAGGTTTTTTAAAACAGTATGATGTGGAAAGGAAATTAAACTCCCAGTTGTTTTTTAATTTGAAATGTGAAGGTGATGGGATCCACTGGAAAAATCCACCTGGAATCTTCCATCTGGTTCAGTGATGTTGATAATTAAGTCAGACAGATATTGTGCAGACAAACTGGAAAAAAAACCTGTTTCCTTTCATTCTCCCACACTTGCTCTGATATTCAGCACACACACAATGCTTTATACAGGTACTCCTTCCAGAGCTTTTCCTCCCAAGTCTCATACAAATCTCATGACTTATAACTCCAAAGGAGTTTATCCAAGATAATTTCTTTTTTACTGTCCCTAAGGTTCTTCCCCTTGCTGGCACCTGCTGACTGTAGGGAATGCTTTATGTATTTTTCTGTAGATTACATCCACAATTTGTTCTTTTCTTTCCAAAAGACTCTACAACTGAACCAGTTCTTCCTCATCCATGGATTGGGGATTGTTTTTATTTTTCCCTGAATCATGCTAGAAAAATCCATGTCAAAGAACAAAGTACTTTTTTTTTCAAAGAAGAAAAAGGGTGGGTGACAACTGCCTTGCTACTATTCCTTGACTCAGTAAATTAAGACTTTTAAGTTGCTCTTTTCAGGGATGTGTGTAGTATAGATACTCTTGATTTATATATATATATGTGTGGTTGGTTTTGTTGGGTTTTTTTTGTCTGGATTGTATATTTTATGCAGATTTGAGGTGATTTCATTCAAGCTTATGTTTTCCTAGCATGAAAAAGACATTGTGGAGAATGTGCCTGAATTTTTGCCCTAAAATATTTCCCTTCTCAGTTTGTTATTTAAGGGACTGCTTAAATTTAAAAATAAATTTACCTGTCTCCTTTTACCGAAAGCAACAAGAGTTTGGAAGGCTGCTGGGAAATCACCTTCACGTCTCTCTCTTGCAGAAGTGGCAGTGCACAGAGGATGCTTCTGGCAAACTCCGAATCCACAAGTGCAAGGTGTCGAGCGACATCCTGGCCATCAGGAAGAGAACGCGCAGCCTCCACTCCCGGGGCTATGGCGGCAAAGACAAGGACTGCCACTGTGGAGACACTGATTACCGGAACAGCAGGGCCCAGAGGAAAAATCAAAGACAGTTCCTGAGAAACCCTAATGTGCAAAGTAAGTGTTACTTGATCTCTTGGACTCTGAGGCAGAGAGCAGGGGGAAATGGCTAGCAGAGCATTTTCCTGCCAGTGTGCTCTTGCTTTCACCTTCGTGTCTCATGAAGATGTCCAGAACTGGTAGTCAGGTTCTGCATAACTGACTCTGTAATAAGTACCTGAAGTGGGCCTAGAACTGGAGAGGGAATTTACAAGGGCATTTAGTGATAGGACTAGGGGAAATCACTTTAAACTTGGACAGAGTAGGTTTGGGTTAAATATTAGGAAGAAAATCAGTACTGTGAGGGTTGTCCAAAGAGGGGGATGCCCCATTCCTGGATGTGTTCAAGGCCAGGTTGAGCAACCTGTTCTAGCGGCAAGTGTTCCTTCCCACGGCAGGGGTGCTGGAACTGGGTATTCTTCTCCGTCCTTTCCAACGCAAACCATTCTGTGATTGTAACAGCAGCAAGAACAACGATATTTATCCCTCGGATCAGGGCGAGGAGCAGCCTTTATGCTGCGGCGCGGCGCTGGTGGCGGTGATGCTCTGGTGCCACCTCTCGCACGGCTCACACACGGCAGCCCCGCGGTGGTTCGGGCCGCTGCCTGCCGAGGTGGCCGCGGCAAGTGTTCTGTAGCATGGCTAAGGCTGAATTCACTCGCAAGTTGGTGATGCCCCGCACACATGTGCTCCCCGAGGCTGCTCTCGGACCCGAACTCTGCCCGGCTCTCCCTTCCCCTCTCCCTGCCCTGCGTAGAGGGATCCCCGCAGGGACACACAGCGAGATCACAGTGTCCTCTAGTGGAGCGGGGGCTGAAGCGACTGTACGAGCGGGTTTTAGGACTGTAGCACTTGGGTTTCTTTCTGCTAATGATTTCTACAAAAGAAGCCTATGTGAAGAGGCTGTTGTTTTAAATGGAGCACGCTTTTTCTTCTCTCTGCCCAGCAATGCGAGTGAATTTCTGTAGCTGAAGCAATAGCAGCAGATTTTAGAATTTGTTGAAGAGCAGGCTGTGTTCTGCTCTTCAACAGGAGAGTGCAAGACTGGGGAATAAAATAAAGATGGATCTTCAAAGCAAGATATTAGTGAAGTTGTACGAGAAACAAAAGTTAGAAGGTGCTGCACAGATGTCTATGAACTAAAAACATAATGTCAATATCATTCCAAATATTTCCTGATTTAAAGCCCCCCACACTGTGGATGTGAACAAGAATCCCTGGTATTCTTTGTACATTCAACCACAATATTGTCTGTCTTAAGTTGTCTCATTGTTTGGCCTAAATACTGTCCTGATCTAATTTCTTCCATTTGTTTAGTATGACCTGAGGAACCTCACAGTGTGTACTGGCAGAGCTCTGCTGAAAAGTGTACATGCCACAGGCTGCCAGGGTGATTCTCAAACTGGGGAATGTTCCCTCAAGGGATATTTTTGTGGGGAGATACCTTCTGTGTACCTTGGAAAGAGGTGCTGCCAAGTCACCAGCAAGGGCTGAAAGGGGATTGTGAGTGGAACAAGTTACTTGGAGAGAGAAAGTAGGGGAAGGATGGAAAACATCTGAAGGAGGCATCAGAAAAAGTGGTTTTGTTATGCTTTAATTCTTTGCAATGTTCTTACATCTCTTCCTTTCTCTGCCTCCAAATCAGCCTTAACACTCCTCTGAGTAGAATGGAGAAAGACTCATAGTGATGAAATATTTTGAAGGGAATTACTAATTCAGGCTTGTCTTCAGATGACACATGCATGACATGCCTATATATTCCATCCTTTCAGCCACTTGTTTGCTAAGCAGTATGATCAGAGGCTGTCAAATGCAAGAAATTGTCCCATCCAACCCTATGAATCTTATACATGATTTTATTAAAGAGTCATTTGGTTACAGACCAGAAAGATGCTTTGAGGCTAGTTTTTCTGTTTATGAAGATGAATGTCCTCATTGCCTTGACTGAGACTTTTTTTCACCTGGCAGCAGGTGATTGCTGAAAATTTTTAGTACAGGGCGGTTTGAATGAAAAGTTCAATGAAGCTCACTATCTTCTCCTTGAAAAGATTCTTGCAGGAAAGAGTAAGCCTGTCTCTCAAAGACACTAACATAAAAATTTCACTAGAACTGATGCTGCCTACTAAAGGCAGTACTTTCTTACAGATGCTGTTTTCTGCTGGATAAATTATTGTTAGGTTACATGGGTGTGCTCAGCATAGATGCAACAAATGGAAATGCCCTACAATTGACTTTTTACAAGCTTAATTTTGTATATGTAGAGCTCTGTGTGTGTGGCTTTGCAAGGCACCATTGCTAGACACAACACGCTTTGGTGTGATATTGACTGTCAGTTTTATCATCTTGGTTTGGGTCAAGTGCATTTAGCAAAAGAAGTAAAAAGTGTAAATAAGGTCTTTCAGACTGAGACTAAACAGAGGTTCTCTTGTACAGGAAATTAAAGACCTCTCAAAAGAGTTAATTGTCTCAGTTAATCTTACTCATATACACAGTAACTAAAAGAGTTGTGACCCTACTAAGCTTAGAGCTTTCAAGGGGTAAAAGTGGCATAATTAATCTCACTGTAGCTCTGCAATGCAGCAATTCTTTGGTGATCACATAATTACAGATGACATATATGTCAAAGTATATGTACATATATACATATAGATACATACAGATACTGATATCTGATGGATTCTTACCCTCTAAATTCTTACCTTTAAAAAAGAAAAGGTATTAATTTTCAGAATTAATTTTTTGCTCTAAAGTATGCATTAACATGTCACATGCCAATTTACAGATGGTGGCCTTGTTTCACAGTACTGAATGATTTCATTTTCTAAAGTGGCTGCTAATCCTGTGTTCTCTGTTTTTTTAGTGTCTCTTTCTGAATATCTCATTTCAGAGATACTGTTTTTTATTTGAAGACTTAGATGCTAACTGTAGCATAAGGTCAGACTAACATGAAATGCAAACCTCGGAGCAACCAAAATTTCATGCTACTCATGGAACCGTGGGGCACAATGTATCAAAAAAACATTAAATAAGTTTCTGTAAAGTCACAGAAAATATCAACTGGTTTTATTGAACTGCATTCTTCTCCTTGGAATATGTTTTGTGTTCATGACACAGATCATGTATGTACCTATGTATACATATATATTTGACTGTGAATGTTTCTTCTGGTTCAGAATACAAACCTCGATTTGTCCACACTCGCCAAACCCGGTCCTTGTCTGTGGAATTTGAAGGTGAGATATATGACATAAATCTGGAAGAAGAAGAGCTGCAGGTGTTGAAGACCAGAAGTATCACCAAGCGTCACAATGAGGAGGAAGGAGAGGAAACTGCTCGTGCTGCTCGTGACACAATGGTCGCTGATGGCGCTGATGCTTTGGGTCAGCCCAGCTCTGTCAGAGTGACACACAAGTATGATTGCTTCCTCTGTATGGTGTTTCTGTTTCTTAAAACCAAATCTTCATTTTCTAGCTCTACTCTTTCTCCCTCTGTACAATATTTAGAAACTTGAAACTGACATCATAGATTTTAGATACACCTGAGTTGTATCTTTTAGGAAGTGGAATAATTTATATTTAGTATGTGTATTTTAAATGGAGACCTCTGGTTTAGATTTTATTTCTAGGGAGGAGCAAACATCTCTGGAGGGAAATTCATCCCTTGTATCAAAATATGAATCTTGTGATGGATTAATCACCCTGTTAAGCTAATGCTTCTGCTGTTTATTATAAAGTTTAGACTACAGTTTATCATAGAGGCCTAAATCTGAGATTACTGAAGTCCCACTCTACATGGGGACTGATTAGATCAGCTACATCATGTTTCTTAAAGCTTAGTTGTTTGCAGACATTAGCACTAGCTAAGATACATTAGACCTGTTTATTCAAGATACACTAAATCTGAATGAAAAGGCAAAAATCTCAAAATAATTTTTCATTTCAAAAAGTTACTATGATTTCTTTCAAAATTCAGGAATATGTAGGCAAAAAAAAAAAAACTTTGTTGAATCTCTTTTATTATATGTAAAATGTAAATAGAGTTTATGTCTTTTTTTTTTTTTAGGAGAATACAAAGGTTAGTTTTGAATAGTAGAAATTATCCTTTCTTACACTGATAATTTCCAGCCATGGAATTATTAAAGCTTTAAATCATTTTACAGAAAAAATATGATTTCTCCATAAAGTGTTTTGACCTTTACAGAATAGCATTATTTCAGAATTCTTTGAGTGAAGAAAAAAACAGAATAGGATAACATTGGAAGAGATAACCATCTACATCTTTTTTCTGTTATTCTTCTCAAAAATTAAAAGAATGGTAATGATGAAGGACAACCCAAAGAAAAGTCCCGTCTATAAAATTATGTTTCTGTAATTAAGGAATTTCTGTTTGTCAGCATGGTGACTTTGAAAGCCCAGCCTGCACTCTGCTGGATTTTTTGTCTCAGTCCACTGCCTTGGTCTTTCTTGTACTTTTTTTTTTTCCTCTTGGTAGAACTGTTTTTTCAAATAGAGAAACAGAGTTATGAATATTTTTGTCATTGCGCTGTTTTTTTACTCAAGTGCTCTGTAGACTTTTAATGACGTGTTTGAACTCTTTCTTCTAACTTTGGTTCTTCTTGGTCTTTATTGATTATATTGATCTTCAGCCCTCTGACTCTATGTTCTCTTCTTGAGTGTTTTGCATGCTGGGAAGATGAGCCACATTCATGTGGCAAGGAGAAAGTATTTCTCAGCAGCTGGTGGTTAAATAAACGATGGCACGTTTGATTAACAAGGAACTTTAATTTCTGAGCAGATTTTCTTCAGTTTCAATTTCATTTCTGATTAAATAAGAATGTATTGCATTTTTTGCTTAGCATGCACAGACCATCTGTTGTGGATGACAAGTTTTCCAGAGAAAACAGATAAAAGCAATTGCTGCTATTAAGTCAAGAGAGGAAGACCTTGTACAGTTTTTATTTGTTTACTAACAATGTAAAAATTTTGATTAGGAATGTTGAAAGAAAGCGAAAAAATGGGCGGGTAACTGGGAAACAAGTGACCTTCATTTTCCTGTTTCTTAAACTCACATCTGCAGATGTTTCATTCTTCCAAATGACACTATTCACTGTGAGAGGGAGCTGTACCAGTCTGCCAGAGCCTGGAAGGATCACAAGGCTTACATTGATAAGGAGGTAAGAGGTATTTTAAAATCTCAGTGAAGTCTTTACACCGATAGCTTTGCAAAGAATAATTCTGACTCAGAAATATCCTCTTTGCAGATTGAAGCTCTCCAAGACAAAATTAAGAATTTGAGGGAAGTTAGAGGGCACCTAAAAAGAAGAAAACCAGATGAATGTGATTGTAGTAAACAGAGGTAAGAGAGGTGGTGCTAAATACTGAATACTACTCTGATTTCTAAGGCTTATACATTTTCCAGGGATTTGGAGATTGAAAATAGAAAACCAAAGCTTTATTGATATTTATAACCTTTGTAGGCCTCTTTTTTAGTTAGACATGAGTAGAAGCTACTGTGAACCACAAGAAAATAAACTTTAACATTTTAAGATTATATATGTTTGTATTCTACTAACATATTTGAATCCAGCTGTAGTTCTGCTATAACCTAGCATAGGATCACACAGCTAGAACTTCCTTAAATTAAGTGAAAATTTTAAGTCTGTATAGTTCCTTAAGAAAATGTCAACCGTAGTATATTTCTGTTTTGGTTTTGTGTTGAAAATAGTTTAATTAATTAATAATTCCTAAATTTTTTCCCTGTAGCTATTACAACAAAGAGAAGGGGGTAAAGGCCCAAGACAAACTCAAGAGCCATCTTCATCCCTTCAAGTAAGGCTATTATTAACCTCTCACTCTCACAGCTGACTTTTTGGTGACTGGATAAATGTAGTTTTGGGCATTTGGGGAGTTTTTTTGGTTTAGGTTTTGTTGTGTTTTTTGTGGAGAGATGTGAGGGGAAGAAAAGGTCACATGTAGCAAGCTATCACAAACATTCAGTAGTTTTGGGCCAACTTGTGAAAGTTTATGGAAAATATTTCTTCAACCTATTGATAGAGAAAGGATGAAAATAGTACTATCAGAAACTGATGAATATTTTTTTAAGAAGATCCAGTAAAACCTAAATGCAGCAGTGCATCCTTTCTCATGCATGCTGAAGGGAGCACCTTCTCCTAGCAGCTGGGGAAGCTGAGCTAGAAGGTCCCGTTCTCATCCTTTCACCTTTATAAAATCCAGAAAGATGTAGAAACCACTAGTGCTGTTGTCAACCAAACAGAGACTGTTCTTAGTCAGCCATGCCCATCTTCCTCCCTGAGCAGAGAGGCAGCACAGGAGGTGGATGGCAAACTGCAGCTGTTCAAGGAGAACCGGAGAAGGAAGAAGGAGCGCAAGGGGAAAAGGCGCCAGAAGAAGGGAGATGAGTGTAGCCTTCCCGGGCTGACATGTTTCACCCATGACAACAACCACTGGCAGACAGCACCATTCTGGAACTGTGAGTCTTGTGCCAAAATGTAGATGTGATCTAGGTTATCCTCTGCTGTATCACTGGTTTTCCACTTCATGCAATAAGAGCATTATTCTGGCCTTTAATGTTGTCAAAAACTTCAGCACATAAAAGGCCTACTTTAACATTTTTATTTCAAAGTATATAATAAACAACATATCATCACCAAAATGCAGATAGTATCCCTTATGAATTCTTCCCATTATTCCACTTTTTATATGCTAAAATATTTTCAAAATCACAACTGCGTAGCACTTGTGTATATGAACAAAATATTAGAGGTAAAGGATTTTGTCTCTTTAAACTTCAGAGTAATCTATATACTATCCCATTGAGAAAAACTTTTCACAGGATTCAGCATTAAAAACCAGTATTTTCCTCACTTGGGATGATGGAGAAAGAAAAGTGACTGAAAAATTTATTTGCAGAAATTTCAAGATCAGGTGGTGATTAAGTTACAATATATTTGACCCCAAACTGAAAATTTGCTAAGAACACCTTTTCATTTGGAGAAAGAAATTGTCTCCTAGAGATAATCTGTTCTGATTGTACTAGGACTTCTGCTATGTACTTTACATTTTAAAATATTCTTAAAGTAGTCATATGCATGATTTTTGTTTTAAAGACAACAATTACATTAGTTAATTTCTTTTTAACTGCAGAGTAACAAAAAGTTATAAAACGAGTTCTCATAGTTCTCATATTGCTGTGCATTCTGGCAATGCTTCAGCAGCAGTCACGGGGTAAAAAGATGTCCTTTTGACAAAGTTCACAATCTAAAGAGGGGTTACTGTATTGTAATGCCATTCCTATTTTTATTAAGTGTTCACAGCTAGTCAGAGTACTCAAATCTAAATAAACCTAAATAAAAACCTAAGGCAATGCTAGTATTATATTACTGTGATTAACTAGCAGAAGAAACAAGCATATTATTTCTGACTTAAAACTAATAACTTGTTTGTATAATTACAGTGGGCTCTTTCTGTGCTTGCACAAGCTCCAACAACAACACTTACTGGTGTTTGAGAACAGTTAACGACACCCACAATTTTCTGTTTTGTGAGTTTGCAACCGGCTTCTTGGAATATTTTGATATGAACACTGATCCCTATCAGGTAAACTACTTTCCCTGTTACAAAATGTCATTCACCAGACTCCTCCAGGTTTTCCTTAATTTTTGTTAACAAGCATAATTTCCCCTGGTTCCTCTCTTTCTCAGCTGACCAATACAGTTCACACAGTGGAAAGAGGCATTTTGAATCAATTGCATGTCCAGCTTATGGAACTGAGAAGTTGTCAAGGTTACAAGCAGTGCAATCCAAGGCCAAAGGGACTTGAAACAGGTACAAGATAAATAGTAGTGTTGATTTCCATTTATTAACATTGTTTTCATCTACTTAAGTTCTAATTGTGTCCATGAAGTGTTACTCTCCTAAGTATTGCTCTGAACAATTTGGAATTATCCATATACACCAATCATGCACATCTGTATGACCAGGAGGCTTCTTTGCAAGTCTGCACAGGTTATTCTTGACAGATATTGATGGCAAAACCCATCACTTGACAGAAATGCTGCAGGAGGGATATCATTATTGGAGCTAATCAATAACAGCTGCATGCAGATCTTCACAGCCATAACTCTTTTCTCTCTTGCAGGGTTTATTTCTTTAGTTTTTGCCTCCCAGTATCAGGTGAGGCATTAAATCCTGTGTTTATTTCAAAATGCTGTTTGCCTATGTCAACAACTTCAGGTTCCTTACCACAACCGAGACTTAACGTTGCAAACTTCTAATCACCAGTAGCCTCCTTCATTTTTGAAGAAAGCAACATTTCTTTACAAGAGTCTCTGAGTAAAACAAAGCTATTTTTACTTCAAGTCTCTAGAACTCATTGCACTTAACTTTGGTTGGTTGAACATTGTGATTTATTATTTTTTCACAGGAATGCTCCATTCTACATAATTTGTGGTATTGCCTCTTTGTATCTCTTTCTACATCTACCAATGTTTCTCTTTTTTCTAATTGTTTTGGGGTTTTATTATTTTTGAAAACCTGTGGGTTTTTAGTTCTTTTATGTAAAACTTCCAGGAAATCTTTGTTGGACTGCAGCTCTGTCTTTATTTAACACAGTACATTTCTTTTTAGGAATTAGATGCTGTGCATGGAAAACTACATTTTGAATGGTTTTACAAGTTCTAAACACTAACAAAAGTTACTCTTGTATTTTCCTATATCAGGAAATAAAGATGGAGGAAGCTATGATCCACACAGGTATCCACACTTTTTTATTCTCCTCAGCAGCTTCTTTCCAAATAATTGCATGACTCCAGTCCATTTCAACTAATGTCTGTATCCTGCCATGTTGCACACAGCGTAGCTTTCAATGCATGCATTTTCTAACTACCCTACACAGAACTTGGCCATTGTTTTTTAGATCTACCATTCTGCATTTAACATAGCTCATTGTCATAGCAAGACTTCATACAGCTCATATTTCATGCCTGTACTCCTTAGATGTCTGCCCAAGGAAAATTGCACAGGAAGAATCACCTCTTTTGGGTTGCTCTTGTGTTATCGTGTTGATTTTGGATGGGTTGGAGGTGTTTTTCTGGTTTTATTTAGTAGGTCTTCACAGCTGCTTTTTAAATGTAAACTAAGTATGCTTAAAAGGCTTTCTGAAGTACAAAGAACCTAGTCAAACCTATGGAAGCAGAGCAAAATCTTCTCACTGGCTTTTGGAAATGTTGGCAGATACCACTGTAGGCAAAAGCAGTGCTCAATATGAGCAGCCTGTGCTCTGAAGCCAGCAGCAGAGTGTTCAATTCAAGTGTGGCAGAAAGATGAAACTCCTTTGGGCTGGGACCAGATCAGAGAACCATGAAATAAAATTTCCCTGAAAGGTTGTATTATTTGAACTGAGGAAAGGCACTAGGTGAGGTTTTTCAAGCCTAACACTTGAGCCTGAGGAATACATGACAGACATCTCTTTGAAAGTGTATTTTTCTCTTTAAAAGTATACTTATTGTACCTACATGTTTATCATTCAGAGCCCTGTGTCTCCTGGTGGAGAAACCAAAAAAACATAAAGCAAAAAGCAAAAGAGACTGAAAAAACTGCAGGTCTTAAGAGTACTGCACTTGCTGTTCACTGAGCAGTACTTGTTCTCAGGGTGAAAACCAGATTAACATCTGTGGAGTGTCATATTTAGACTGGACTCCTTTTCACAGTTTATCAGTTTTATACATTTTCACCTCAATACACTTTGGAGGAGTAGCTCCTGATACCCATTGCTTACTTGAAAAGTAAACAAGGGAGTCCAAGGGGTGTACAAGTCTACGCAAAACCTTTTTCACAGAATCTTTTGAAAAGAACCTTTTCATTAATTTCCAGGAGTCAGAGAACAATTAAGCTAATGTATCTCAATGTATAGATCTCCAATTTAAGCAGCTAAATTTTCTTTTGCAGCCAATTTTGTATTTCCTAGTTTTGGCATCTAGGAAAATGATAAGCTTTTGTTTGGTTTGTATCCCACTGTTTGCATTGCTCATTACAGCCTGGTGGGAGCTGGTTGCTACAATGATAGAAAGCAATCCCTGTAATTATGCTTTTAAGTCTTTCATTAGAAGGAATCCTTGAAAGTAAGCATTCCTCATTTTAACTACAGATCTAACAGAAGTGGCATTTTTGAATTGTAGGATTATATGAAATAGTAGACCATACAAGATTAACCTTTAAATTTTATCTTCCTACACTGTTTAGCAACAAGAACATTTTAAGTTCTGATACCAAAGAACATAGAATAAACATTTTGCTACTGTGACAAATAGCAGTATAATATAACAAGCAATACTGTTCTGTGTTGTGACATTGCAGACACCCAGTTTCTCAATTTTCACATTCAGCATTTTTGGTTCAAGCCCCATCCTGGTGGAATGTTTTTCTTTTCTTAAATAAAACAAAAACCAATCAACCAAAACAAAACAAAAATTAACCAATCCCATTTATCAGGAGTCATTACAATGATCCACTAGAAGATCCTTTTGTTGCTGCCTGGAGAGAACAGATGGAATAACAATGGAAAGTCATCTAAACTGCTCCTTAGGCTTCCTTCAGATCATGTAGCTTCTCACTCAGACCTGTTCCCAGTTCAAAATGCCCTGAGTTAGTGAAGCACTGCCTGTGCTGCAGTAAGGCACTGGGCCAACAGCCAGATGTGGAAATAGCCAAATAATAGCCAAAATGTCCCCTTTGCACAAAGGGACAGAGAGCTTCAGCAGGGAAGAACTGGTGCCACCTCTGCCCTGTGATGGATGGAGTGTGGCTCTGCAGACAAGGTGATAACAGGATGTGTGAACTACACATTCCTCTCTCCTCTCCTACTTGTCTGAAGTTTTTCAGAGCCACCAAGGATATGATTTTACCCACCTGTCTTTAATCTCAAAGAAGACATATTCAAATCTCTTATTAGTTTTGAGATAAAACAGGCACAGATGGCATTATAGAGGATGCCGGGGTAGGACTCATGGAGAGTAAAGTTTAACTAAAACTTGATCTACAAATGAAAAAGCAAACAAACAGCAAAACAGGGAGAAAAAAAAGAGCAAGTTTTGCTTTCAACAGCTGCCCACAATTTTTTTTTCTCTTTTGGATCTATATTGTAGCTGAGAAATGCCAAAATGTTGATCAAGGAAACTACTGCCATGCTGTTTCTCAAATGCAACTCATCTGCACTTTCCCATTTCATACTTATTTGTAACAAAATTTCTTACAGGGGAAAACCTCTTCTTTCCTCTCCTCTTCCCTCTGTTTGCTTTAATTTCAGTGGGAGACTTTCCATGCTTACTGCAAGTTGTGGAATTAAACTGTGAAGTAATTTGCTCAGTCAATAATAGCTCTCTAGGACCTTAAGATTTTGCTTCCCTGTTTGTTTAACATATATGAATATAAGTTATCTCTGTCTGCAAACAAGCTGTTTTCCTCTGTGTGACACAAAGATCATGGAACAATTCCCAGTGCCTTCCCAGCTGTGAAACTTCTCTGAGACTGCAGAAACAGTGCCACATTTAGAGAGCAAAAAATAGATCCAGAGTGAAGGACCATGTAGCTCTGACTCAGACTTTCAGCTATTTTGTAGGAATGCTGCAAATTCTTTGCTGATCTTCCTCCTGTGCAGCACAGCCCCATTGCCCTGCTGCTGAGCCTCCTCAGAAACCCTGTTCCTCTTCACTGGTCCCCAGATTCCCCACTGCCCAACCTGCCACCCAGCCCAAGCCTCTGTTCCCCTGCTGGGGACGGGCAGCCCAAGCTCTCCTGGGCCCAAATGCTCCTTTGTGGCTCCTGCTTTGTCCCCAGTGCCCTGGTCTGTCCCCAAACCTGCTGCCAGTCAAACAGCATCATCCTGTTCCAGTCCCTGCCATAACATAACAATCCACATGACTGTCCCTGCAACAGTTTGTTTTCCTATACAGGCTCTGACTTGGCAAAGGAAAAAAACCCCAAAACCCTACCAATAAAAATAATAACAGAAAATTTTAAATATCGTTGCATCTGCAGTGTGGTTAATGTCTTCAAGGCTTTAGTGACTAAATTCCTTGAAAAGCAGCCCCCTGCCATGATGTTTTCTAGGGTACTTTATACCTCTAAGCACCAGAAGAGTAAATCTTCTTTCTTGAAATCTCTGTGGTATTTAATTATCTTTTGTTCCAGGAAACAAATTATCCATAATGTGACATACAAAGATGGCTCTCATGTGGCCATGCCATGATTTCATTTCATTTCTCTTGCCTGCTTCAGGAAAGAAAGAAAGAAGATGCTCTGTCATAGCTGTCCTATAAAATCTAAAAAGCTTTTGTTTCTTCCTGAATCAGGAAGACTGTCAAATGTTTGCCAAAAAAATTCTATAATTTTATATTTAAAAAATAAAATACTTAAATTTTATGTTGCAAAACATTTCCAATTAAAAGCAAAGGCTCAGATGTTTTCAAATAAGGAAAGTGGTCTCCTTTTGGAGTGTAAGACCCTACATTGTAAGAAAATATCAAGGGTTTTTTCTGACCATAATGGTATTTTTCTGACTTTCCATACGATGGACTAAATAGTGGAGAAATTCTTTTACTGTGAAATCCCAAGCTAGTAAGAAGCAAAGAATGTAATCTATGATAGACAAAAGTTGCATCTTCTGTTGTACTTAAATAAAGAGAAAAGAGAACGGGCAACTTAAAATGCGAACAGATTGATGGAGATGCCAAGACCCATCTTTGGGGATGCAGGGCTCAATTTGGATGAGGATTTGAGCTCAGTTCACATGGTTGGAATGTAGCCACTTGAACTTCTAAAGCAATTGCTACTAGTCTACCTGCCTGTACAATTTTCATGAAGAGAATAAATCATTATCAGTGCATTAATTACTAAAGATTACCTGCAATATCATGTGCAAGGGCAAAATTGTCACTTTCCCTGGCAAATGTTTGCATTGCTTGATTTGTCCTTCCTTGTAGACCGCCATGTTGATAAAATCTTTCCAGTGAATTCAGTCTGCCCAGTAAATTAAATAAATTGGTGCTGTTCAGTGTTACTTTTCAGTATAAAATGGGCTTCACACCCCAGGTGATAGAATCTAAGTCACTATAGTTATTGTAGCGAATTTTTAAAATATTTTGGAAATGGATTTCTTTTGTGTCTTTGTATTTTCTTCTGTGATCAATAAAAAATGCAGCTCTGTTGTTACTTATAGACCCATATCTATACCCTTTACTCAGACTTATTATTTGAAAAGGCTGCTAGATATTTTCTTTGAAAGCTTTTCTAAAAAAACCCAAAACCTTAAGAAGATTCTCTGTTTATATTTTAACACTATTTTACAAAGTGGTGCAGTCCTTTAAATTAATTCACACCATTTTTTACAGCTTTCATTTCCCCTAATTGCTCCATGTAAACTAAAATGTATGTTTATGAAATAGATTAAAACCCCCTTTAGCTATAATTTACTAAATAAAATCTGTCTGGTTAGTTTGTAGACCATATTTTTAAGCTATCCAGAAACAAAATTCATGTGGGCATTGAAGTTCAGGTCACCAATGGCTTTCAGAGTTAGTCCCCTCTTTTATACATGTTTTGCTGGAGTGTTCCAGAAAGGCAAATGGATTATTTGTGTATTGAAACATTTTTCCTGCCTTGAAATATCAGAGGAAGGACTTATGTCTGAATGTCATCACAAAGCCTCATTAGACAAGATTTTGTTCTTTTTTTACTCTGCCCAGGGATGTAGCAGGAGACAGGGAGTCCTTGCTGTGTTTAGCAGGGGCTGTGAACATAGCCAGGGTCAGAACATTCCTCTGCTGACAGAAGAGGTGGGGTGTCCTACACTTTGAGCTACCTGCTTTATGAACGGGGTGCTTTCAAGCCAGTTGAAGTAGAAACACACATGGAAGCTTTGCTTGCACCTTTTATAGTGCTCACCAGTAGGCTTTATTCTTTCTTTCAACAGAGGACAGTTATGGGATGGATGGGAAGGCTAAGCTGCCCATTTTCACTGGCGACATTGACTGGCAAGGACTGGAAGACTTGTACAGTGTGAATGAAAGTGTATATGAATACAGACACAACTTTAGACTTAGTCTGGCTGACTGGACTAATTACTTGAAGGATGTAGATAGAATGTTTGCACTGCTGAACAGTTACTACCAGCAAAAGACACCAGGCAAGGATAACCCTGGTCGAAGCAACGGGGACGAATCATCCACGCCGTTCACCTTGGTGGAAATGCCTTCTGCTGAGGAGTCCAGCGGCCTGACTGCAGAAGAGCTGCAGCTTATTGTGCCAACAGACTTTGCAGCCCTTGCTTTGAGCACAGTGAATTTAAGTCAGGAGAGGAAACTTGAATTAAACAATGATATTCCTGAGAAAAGTAGTTTGAATGACGCACACTGGAGAAATAGTCATCCAGCTGAAAAATGGATGGAGGATAAAGAATCGGACCGTTTTGATATGGATTTCAGTGGGAACGGTTTGATAGAGTTGGAGTCCCGGCATAGCTTCATGCTACAGCCCATCAGCATTCCTCAAAAAGACACTCATCAGGATGGTGACACTGTGGAAGATATATTTGAAGACCAAATGTATCTTCCCATGAGGTCTGATGAACCCTTTGTCCGTCAGACCGTAAATATATCCATTAGGGATTCACCTGTCAGTACCCAGGAAGAAGGAACTTTCTTAAAAAAAGCCAAACAGAGTCTTGCAGGAGAAAGTTCACAAATCCTAAATGCAGAAGGCAGTGCCTCAGCTCCACTCTCCTTGGATTAGATCAAGTTGTAAACCATTAAATAAGTTCTCCTTTTTCTTATTAGCAAACTAATAAAGGTAATCAAGACAACTGACATTCCATGTTTATTGTAGATACATTTTGCAGCTAAATTGAGCCCAGTTCAGTATTTGTCTCTGTGCATTTTTTTTTTATTCACATGCACATGCTTTCACTTCTCCACACTGGGAAGCAAGATTTCCAGTTTTCCATTAAAGGAAACAGTGTTAACTTTCAAATGCAGTAGCACATTCTCTGAAAGCTAAAAATTATTTCTTCGTAAAGAATGTCCAGGTCACTTTCTCTATTTCCAAATGATCCCACCATGACTGAGTGTTTCAGTTCACCCAGTATGCCTGCATAATGTCTTTTTTATCAATTATTTTAACCACTGGCAATTCTTAATGCCATGCTTTCAAGTGAAATGCACTTTTAAAATCTGTATGCCATACCATTTATGCATCTAATACCTTACAGGTTCTTAGCTTGCTTGTTGTCTTATGAAATTGTGAAACCAATAAACAGACTGACCTGAAAGAGGTAAACACCATGGATTGTGGAAACAGACTCTTCAAACACTATCTTGGCAAAAATATTGCATGTTTTTGTTGCTTTATTAAATTTACTCTCAGAAAGGTATGGCTAATGATTGTGAACTGTAGAAGGATTTGTTTAAATTGGATTGTTTCCCTATATGTTGATATTGTCAGTATTAAAATTCCGTTAATTTTTCTGACTTTTTTTTTTTTTTTGTTGATACTGGTAAAAGGTTTACATCAGTACATAAATGTTTTTGTTGCCCCACCTGATTTTTATTATTCTGAGCAATATCTTGAAAGCATTATTATCATTTTGAGTCTTAAATTCTTTTTCTGTTTTGAACAGGCATTAAAGGGAATGATAAAATCACATTAGGTTTCCATTATTTTAGACACAAAAGGCACATGAGAGTAAAAAATTGTAGTTTAGTAATAATTTTTGCTGTTGTATTCTAAATATTTTCTTGAACTTTACCAAACATTAAATTGTATGAAGTATAACACAAAAATTACTTCAAAAATCTGTATTAGTCAAAATTTAATATTTTCCCTTGCTTTTTTATAAATTTCTAAATAATTATCCCCACAGCAACAAAAGAGAATTACCTCAAACAGATGTAATTCCACAGTGTCCAACTCACGGGTGCATTTCCTACCTGTTACATGTTATTTAGTGTAGTGAATATTTTTTGGCTATTGCAAGCACTGCAGGTTAAACTTACATTCATTACATTGTATTTTAAGTTGAAACTTTTTTAAAAAGGAGATTCTTTTAGTAGGATTTTAATAATTTTAAGAAGCAGTCTTTTTGATGGACTCTGTAAATATGTTAAAATTACTAGTTCTTTTTCTGATGTATGTGTCATGGGCTGATTGATAGAAACACATATTTATGGTCATGAATGATGCTATTTGTACATAGGTTTTAAGTTACTAGGATACAAACTGTGTTTTTAAATCTTGTATAATATTTCTGTGATACTTTTATAGTACAATTCTGGCTTCGGGAAAGTCTAGAAGCAATATTTCTTGAAATAAAAAGTGTTTTACTTTACCTGCTTCAGAGAAGTCCACATGATCCAGTTTTCCTCCTGAATAAGTTTTATTTCAAAAATATGTTGACAGTTTCAGTTTTACGCATCCATCAACATTAAAAGTGACAGGTAACAAAATAATACACAACATTCTTTTAGGGATAAATTATTCCTGGAGATGTGAGTAATGTATTTATATTTTTGTTTAAGACATGTTGTGATTTTAATTTTTTTTAATTCCAAATTCATCTGGTCCTTTCTTCCTTGAGCTCCATGCACTGAGCTGCACAACCAGCAGCTCCCAGAAATAATGAAATGTTTGATGGAGCCACGTCTTGCTTTGCTGCTTTCTCTCCTCCCTGCACAGCTCTCGCTGTGACAGCACAGCACTGCAGACCAGACATGCAGTGCTTACCAAGAGTGAACCAAGTCAGGACTTGTGTCTCCTTGTACGAGAGTCAGCACAAAAAGGAACTTAGCTTTCAAGGTAAATTCTCTCTTTCATGAACTCTATGTTTCTTCATTGGCCTGTCAATAAGAGTACCTTCATACCTAAACTCAGCCTCTGAATCTGTGCTTCTTGAGCTCTTCTTTCTTTTACATAGTCCTGGGACTCTGATGCTCCTGCAGACAGAAGTTACAGGTGATGTTTGCGGGGATCAGGAAAGTGGATGAATCCAAGTGTTCAAAAAGCACTCAGTGCAATGTCAGATAGAGCCCTGGGAGAAGTCTGCCCTGAAAGCACAGCAGCAAGCACAGGGTGTTTCTCAAAGCAGGGTGCAGAGCAGGTTGAGCCAGTGAGTTTGGGAGGACTTGAAGGACAAAGGCAAATTGAAGGGAGGTCCCACACAACCACCTCTTGTATCTTTGTGCAGGGAATTATCCAGCACCAACATTGTGCCCTACATTCTTTGAAAGTTCAGTTCTTTGAAAGAACCACACAAGGTGCTTTCTCTCTTAATACTGGGGCAGAGATAGGGAAGGGAATGGTGCAACTTAGTGAACCATGCATTCACCCCACTTGCCCTTCCTCCTTACCTGAGAGTTTAAAGTACTCATTGAGGAAATGGCAGAAAGGACATCTCTTTAGTTTGAAAGTTGTCTCCCTTCTTTCTTCTAGGACAGCACTCAGTCATCTAAACTATCAGCTAAACAGCGCCCTACCTTCTAAACCAGGTGGGAGCCCTTTTTACAGGTCTCTTACAGGAGTGTGGAGGAAAGAAAGTATAAAGGACAATCATTCTGTAGGCAAGAGATGCAGACAGCAGCTAGCCCTGATCCTTGCTGTCTTGGAAGCTATAAGCTAAACCAAGTTAAAGAGGCCAAAATCTGTCATATCTCTAGGTACACAGCCTAGGCGGTGTGTTGCTGTCCCAGTTTTTTTTTGTGTTTCTTTCTGCACAGTACTTCTTTTCCCATAGCTGAGGCAGTCAAGTCCATGAGCAGTGCAGGGTGTGACTGTCAGGAAGCTTTTACAGGCAGTTGCAGGCTCAGGAATGAAGCAAGTGCCTAAATCTGGCACTGCTCCTCATATGGAGAAGGGCCAAGAGGATGACCTTCCTAGCTTTTTGTGATCTGCAGAGCAGGAGATACGTGTCTATTCAGAAAGGCAGTACATAGTTCATGACTTTCTGAAGGGCTCCTGGAGATGGACAGAACTTTAAAACTGGCACATCTTTGGGAAGTAGCAATGTTATGCAAAAAGTTCCCTCTGGAATCTAAGATAAAGCAGCCAGTATTGCCCTCACATCCTTGGACAGTGTGAGGCACTTTCTGAGACCCCCTAGCAACTGAGAGCACTGCAGAAGAGCAAACTTGTGTAGTGCTTCAGTTCCAGAACTAGACATAGAATCACAGACTGGCTTGGGACAGAAGCAGCCTTAAAAATCATCTGGTTCCCACCCCCACCATGGGCAGGGACTGACTTAGAGCTGTTATCAGAGGTGAATCCTGGTGTTACTGAGGTAAATCCACACTAGCAGCTTCTCAAAAAACAAAGAAACAAACATACATTTGGATCAAAGCATTATTCTGGAGTTCAGCCACCTGTAGGCTTTTGTGACACTTGAGGGAAGGTATTTCAGAGTGCATATCTGAGCACTGACCACCTCCACTCTCTGAGCCAAAACCCTTGAGATGCCTGCAGCTGTCTACACTGAAGTCACATAGGCACAGTCAGAGGGGATCTGTGTAAAACAGTCAGGGCTGAGAACCCAAGTGCCACAACAGCCTTGTCCAAGGAAATCTGCCCAGGACTAGAGCCCTGAGCAGCCGTGGCTGCCTGGCTACATATGATGATGTAAAAACTTCTTCCTTTAGTCTCAGCAAAGCCCAATCCTGTTTGCGTGCTCTGACATAATTTTTCAGTGAGAACCGATGTGCAGTAAATAGGGTACAAGCCAGGGAGTAATTCCAGCAATGATGTGTCACACCGGGGGGAATGCAGTGCCAGCACTGTGTCCCTGTGCCGGGAGTGTGCTGCAGCCGCTGGGGCAGCAGGTGTCAGTGCAGAGCCGCGCCACGAGCGCCTCCGTCTCCGGGAGCCTGCGTCTCTCCCGGGCTGTCAGCACTGCCGGGGCTGCACCTGCTCCGTACTACACCGGCAACAGCACCTGGGATGTGCTACAAATACAGTCTCATCACTTTCCTTGGTGTAACAGCTTGGACACTGGAAATGTGCAAGGGGATCTGAAAGATGATTTTTTTTGTGTGGTTATATGTATTGGAAATGAAAACATGCAAGTCTTACTTTGAAATCAGAGAGAATCTGGACCCAATCAACACACATGATATGCTATTTTTTATTTCCAAGTATCAAGTATTCAAGAGTTTGTTTTGTAAACACATGTTTACAACAGATGCTGACAGTAGGTTTCATTAAATCATGGGTTATATAACTTTAAAATTACTCTAAGCTCTGATGAGAAATAAATATAAATTAAAAAAAAAAAAAAAAACATACAGGAGCCTAAAGTATGCAAAAATACCCAGCATAAACCAATTCTCTTTTTACCACAGCACAGCACCCACACACTCATACCATCAGACATACTCTACAAATTTCCTTAATACTCTACACATTTGCTTAATAATGAGTTTTTTAAAAACTAAACAGTTACAGGCAGTGTGCCCACTCCATGCTCCTACAA